TCAGGATCATCATTCTCTACTTCTATTGCTACTAGTGTGGCTAAAGGGAGATTGAGGTAAATCGTCTTGGTCTCAATTAAGATGTTGGAAACCTTATTGAGTTGTAATGAAATCTTCACAACTGTCTCTTTTCCATCCTTAATATTTTAGTTATCTTCCACGCCAACCTGGTGAAACGTGCAAGCATATTGGTGCTCCTGGTAATTCAATCATCCTCAGTTGTTAAATCTCAGAGAAGAAATGCTTGTGAGAATCTCTTGAAGATTTCAACAGTGGAATCTTCTCAATTTACATAATATCTTGGTAATTGTTATGTTCTTCCTTTAAACCTCTAAATTTAGGAACTTAAAATAAGAAACCTGGGGCATAAGGACCACATCATAGGGATAGAACTCTAAGTATCTCTCAGTCCTTTTGGAACAAAAGACACCAAATTTGGTCTTTGGATTGATTAAATCAAACTCAAGCAAAGACCAAATTATAAAGATATGTGTCCCTTTGGAAGAGGTCAATGATATAATCAGGATGTGTTATGGTTATGAATATAAAGGGTATTTCATAGTATTTAGAACAATTAATAAGATTTTACAATTAGGATTATATTAGCCAGCATTGTTTTAAGATGTAAAAAAATATCTAAAAATTATGATAGATGTCAAAGAGAAGATAATATTTTCAAAATAAATCAAATGCTCTTAAATTATAATTTAGAAGTTGAGATTTTTTATGTTTGGGGATTAAACTTTATGGGACCATTTGCTCGGTCACTATAAAATATGTATATCTTGATGGCAATTGATTATTTATTTAAGTGAATTGAAGCATCAACTCTCCCAAATTGTGATGCTCAAAGCATTCAAAGTTTTTGAATAGAATCATTTTTAGTATATTTGGGACACTTATTGTGATTATTAATGATGAGGGGGGGCCACTATAGGAACATCAAGATTGAGATTTTACTAGCAAAATATGAGATTAAATATAAGATTTTCACTGCTCACCAGCCTCATATTAATGGATTAGCTGAGATTTATAAAAGAGAGTTAAAGAGAATGCTATAAAAAATGGTGAATCTCAGTTTAAAAGATTGGTCTCTGAGATTATATGATGCATTATGGGCTTATAGTACTATCTATAAGACACTCATAGGGATGTCACCTTACAAACTAATAGATATAACCATTACCTTACTATTTTTTATTATGATGTTCCTATTCCTTTTGAAATTAAAAGAGATTAAAGTTATTCTTGGGAGTTGGGAGAGATTTTCATTTGCTAATTTTTATTTGTCTCATTCTCTTTATTTTTTTTATGAATCCTTAAACTAAAACCCCCTCATCTTGGATGTGATTACTTATGTTGTTTTCCACTTGTTCTTGTTATAACATGAGTATGTGAAGTTTTTCTTAGTGTTATATTTAGTTTTTATTTACTTGATTTTTACCATACTTGCAGGCATAGTGTTTTGAATAAGTTTGAGGGAGGGATGCAAATATGTTGACTCTCACTTTAAGTAAAATTGGGATTTAACATAGAGTTTAAATAAGGATAAGAGTAAATGTGAATTTTAATAATAAAAGAAGAGCTTAAACTTTGGTAGAAGGGAATTTTAAATAGGTGAATAGGAATATCAACTCATCAGCACCCGAATTATAATTTTAGTAATATATAATTTATACTCATTTTTCCTGAAATCAAAATGTGGGTAATGAATCTTCATAAAATTAACACCTCAACGATAAAAAAACATTATCACTAATCATTTAAATATTTTAATTTTGAATTAATATCACTTTGATTATAATTTTTTTTAAAAGTTAGGAAGTTATTGAGAAATTAACTTAAGACTGTGTTTGTATTCAAAATCATTAAAAAATGAACGAGCTTAACTAGATATATTAAAACTCTTGAAAAAGAAAAAAAAAAGAGAGCTTCTTGTTTAAAAAGACAAATAATTGAGAACTTATATGGAGATGCTAGAAGAAAAACTCAAGTTTAAAATTGGTATTGATAAAGTAATCTCATAATTCATGGATTAAAAGCTTCCCCAACTTAACCTTGAAATTTTGTGATAAACTTGATAATAACAGAATTAATATTGTTTAAATGTGTACTTAACCAAAATTTAAGTTTAAAGTATTAACTTCATGAAATTTAGACCCCACTTTAGTAATTTAAGAAGAGTTGTGTGAATATAATAATAATTTTAAAATATCAGCATATTAGTGAGTTAATGAGAGAATTCCACTTATAGGAATAAACCCATGCATTTATATTCAAATAATTACTCATTAAAAATAACTAAAATTCTTAATTCATAATTTCCATAATTTTAATTACTTTATTTTAGGTTTTTTGATACTCGAGAGATAGTAATATGTAAGCTTGTGGAATTTTGGTATGTGTGGATTATGTGATGAAAATTGTCTAATTTTTCTTGCATTTTTTAATATTATTTGTTCTTATTTATGTTTTTCCATGTACTATTATGTAAATTGAAAGATAAAAGGTACTTGAGGAAGCTTAAAAGAGGCCTTAACATCTACTGTAAAGAGAAAAAAGCTAGCCAGTTCAAATGGAGCTACGAATGCAATACCGAGGGCTTGCCACCTTAACACCTTGGCACCATCTTTTGGGGCACATAGGCGCCACCTTATGAGCATATTGAAGTGCCCCAACCGAGCATCTAGCGTTTAGGCGCACCCCCTCCAAAACCCAATGCATAGGCGCCTCTTACATGGACGCACAGACGACTACTACATGGCGCATGGGCGCCTTTCAAACATTAGGCATTGGGTGCCACTTCAAGAGGTGTTGGGGCACTACATCAGCATGCCATCTAGCATGTGTCCCTTGAGAGACCAACACTTTGGCTATCAAAGCAAGAAATTTGATGCTGATGAGGAGTTATGACAATTCTGCTTATGTGGTGATTCATAACATTTATCCGCGGCATATAGGGATACAAAAGGCAAAGATAGATGGAAGGAAGGTCTCTCTCATTCATATTCAACTTGGCCATTTTTCTTTTTTTCTCTGAGTGTGAGTGGTGATTCTGCAAGGGATAAAATTGAGTGATCAATATTTTTGTAAGGGAGAGAAGATTTGTTGAAGGAGATAGTGACGCCAAAGCGAAAAATGAACATAATTATATCATTTGTCAAGGGTGTAATATGGGTTTTACTTCTCTAGACTTTTTGTGTATTCATTGTTTTGATAAATTTATCATTTTTTTGTTGCTTCAAGACACGAGTATGAATTAAAACCCCTTTTCTTTCCTGATATTGCGAATAAAGATTTGAGAGTTTGTGATTTAGATATGTGATTTGCTTGTTAAATGTTTTTAGCGGTACTTTATCCTTTCAAGCTTACTTTACCTTTCGTATGGCCAATTGAAGTTTTAAAATCCTTTGTGATTTGTGAGGTTAAGAAGAATTTGCAGGGAAACAATTAAGATAAAGTTCGCTAACTCGGAGAATAAGAATATTGCTCGTTGTTTATTGTTATCATTTGAGAAAATACTATTTAGGTGGGGATTTTATCAGGATATCCCTATGCCAAGAGGGGCTAAGGAATAATTTTGCTCTTAATAATTACCTTCTTCAGTGTCACTTCATAAATTTTAGGTTTTTAGGATCCTAACCAGGGGGAGAAACTTGATTTGCGAGAGTCACTTTCATAACTTGAAATTAGGATTTATTTTTTTGCAAAATTAAGACAAAAACTTTCATAAAATCATAAAAAATCAATAATTTAGGCCACATTCAAAATCAACAGGCTATAAATTTTCATATTTTGGAGTTTACTCGTTCCCTGTTGAATCGATACACATACTTGTTTCATATACTACTTGTATGACATGCATACTTGCTTGATTTAGCGGTGCTTGGCCGCATTTGATTCATATCAAACACAAACATTGACCCAGTCTAAGTCGAGTCAAGCTTAGATCGAGGCATTAAGCTATTTATTAAAGCTTCTCCTGCCTAATGGTAGATCAAACAAATTTCAATTTTAACAAGCTTATCATTAAGGCTCTTAAATGTCCAAAGAACGTTCGACTATCGTCGGCCACCTCCAGCAGTTGCCCCCTGTTTGTTACAATAAGTCACCTCACTGAACCATGTATAACTTTGTGGAGTAACAATGCGTTGTGTGTAGTAACAACCAAAATCAAAGAGAAACGAAGTGTTGTTCAAAGTAGTGACCAACATTGTGAATTAGCAAAGCATTCTATGGAGTAGCGAGTTATCCTGGACACTGCACAACAATACACTTTGAAGGCAGTGCAACAAAGTTCTAGTAACTGCAACCGCTTCAGATCATTGTGCAATGAGTTGTCTTACATACGAACCTTATACTGCGTGACCCTTTTTCACTTGTGGGATAATGATCTGTAATTGTATTATATTTGACAGGGAAAACCTCCATAGTTTCTTCTCTTTATTAGTTTTCCACGTAAGAAATTTTGGTATATCCACATAATTTTTTATTCAATGAATGTGTGTACAACACTGAGACGATAATTTCTTACTCTTTAACTACAAAATCTCTATCTTGCATCACTAATAATTTTCAATAAATAATAAGCTGCAACATTTAAGGTCGGTAATGGATTGTATAGAATTATTTCATAAATATTAATGCTATCAGGAAAAAGAAATTTTTTTAAATTTTTTATTTTACATACAATCCACAAAAGTTTTATATATTCTATGTCAAATATTTAATTATATAATAATTTTATATCATTTTAACTAAATAAACTCAAAATATATGCATAATCAGATACCATTTACTTTAAGTAAGATACTATTATTTTTTAATGCTATTTAAAATTTAAATATGTAAATAAATAAGAATTTAAAGTCATTCATATAAATCCCAAAGCAAAAAAATGACCCCACCAATTCTTTGGGGACCGTCACTTTTCTTAGACCATTTCAAATGGGAGTCTTCTCTTCAAGCGGCGGAGCGTGTTCTCTAATTTCCAATGGAAGGTGATATTTCTTATGTCCTTCGATCTGCTTCCCAGTGAGATATCTGCTGTTCAAAATCTCTTTATTTGTCAATTGATCCAAAGTACATTAAGTTCTACTCAGATTGACGACGTTATGCTCTCAGATTAATCTAAGATTTTTTTCCTTAATTTCCTCGATTTCTTCTGGGAATTTTTAGAGAAACCCTAGGGCTGTGGGTACTGGATTCCTAGCTATCAGTATTCTTTTGATGTCTAGTTTTTAGTTTTAGTTTTTTTACTTTTGGAAATGCTGAACTGATATGATTTATGTAACAGAATAGTGCCTCACAGCTCAAATAATTTTCACCCAGAATCCCAATGGAATTTTATAAATGCGTGGAAAGACTATTATACTTTAACAGTTTTACTTGGGTGCCACTGGCACTTAATATAATTCTGTCATGCAATATTCGAGCACTTAATAAAAGGTAATATTTTTCAGGTTTCTATGAGAGAAAAACGAAAATTTGACATTTTGAAGGACTGATGGGGATATCAAAGCTTATTGGGCTCAAGGCAGCAGCTTTATTCTTACTGTTCCTCTTCTTCAAACGCCTTCACCTCCCATTTCTTTCCATACCCATTCTATACTCTTCTTTAATCTCATTTTTAATTTCCATAGCCTCACATCCATATGTCAACCTCCCTCTTCTTCTGGGTAAATCCTCTGATGGAACTTTCCCACTTTGGACAACACTTATATTTGGACCTTTCCTGTTTTTCATACGTATTTTTGTTTTATTGAGGAGGATGTTGATTGGTGAACCTCTGTTTACTGAGATTTCTGAGGGTTTATTTGTTGGGGGTTGGCCTTCTTCTCTGGAACATTTACCACCTTGTAACCCAGCTGTTATTGATTGCACCTGCGAGCTACCAAGATCATCTTCTCTTTCACATAATGCATATATATGTATTGCAACATGGGATACTAGAGCTCCTCAACCATTCCAAATTGAGTCTGCTGTTCAATGGGGATTGAAGAAGAGGGCTCTAAAGAAACCTGTATACGTCCACTGTGCCTATGGTAAATAGTCATTTCTATTGAAAGTAATGTTATTTTGCACATTTTTATATAAATGTTATGTTTGTTTGAGAGAATAATGGTAAACAAAATGATACCATTTATGGAATTTTTATTCTTCAACCCGTTTGCTTTCTTTGTTACAAGCATCTAACGGCCTTATTCTATACATTTTACTAGATTTTTTTCAGGTATGGAAATATTTTAAATTCTGTTCTACTCACAAATTATCATTTTTTGTGGCATATTTTCTCATAGAAGAAATGTTATTTTCTGATGAAAGGAATGTAGTTGGCATTGTAAATTTTATTGCACATTGAATAACTTCCCAAGTTATTCATTTAATGAATCCCAGTTTAATCATTTTATGGTTGATTTGTCTTATATTTAATCTGTTTCTAAATAAATTGGAACTGTAGGAAGAAATATATTCGTTGTAATTTACTGTTGGAAGTGTTGTCCTGGACGCAGGATAGGGTTAATTGAAACACATAATTGTTTGTTGGATATGCATTTAATTTTGCAAATAACTAATGGAGTTTTGAAAAAGAAACTTTAAGTTGTTCTGTATTGCTTATTTGAGTTGCTCCTTAACTTGTTAGGAATATGAGTTATGTTCGGGAATCTTTAAGAATTTTTGGTATGGTGTTTCTTTCTCTTCACTGCTCATTTTAGCAGAAAGGCTTAGACTATTTTTCTCAAGTGAAGTTTGTTCAACTTTGATTCATCCAGAATCGCTGAATATTTTCCTGAAATTTTTTATTAGTTATCTCAAATAAGATAGATTTTCCCTGCCCTGAAACTATGATAATACTTGTGGAACATTTTAAAGTATTTTCATGATGTTTACATACATGAGCTTTGCTCTCTTTCCGGCAGTATTTTGTTATATTTGGCAAATTTGTTTATAATTTTTTAGATGATTCGGCGCTTGTCATTCCTATCCTTTTTATATCCTTTTACCTTTTCATTCCTTTCGGTGTTTTCACATGGATTTGAGGTTGTTCCATGCTCTCTCTTCATATGACGTGATTTTGTGGTGCGAACATTTTATTAAAATACCAAGGAAATTTTTTTTAAGAAATTAATGTCTTTTAGGTCCATAATTAGAAAATTTTCGGTCATCAGTGTCAGTCATCTGGGTTCATTTCCCTTTGAACTCAGGGTCATATTGGAATCTATAATGAAGTTAAAGTATCATTTTGTATTTCACAAGGGTTAGATTCTGATTCCAAAGATTTTTTCATGCATAGGAGATGCCCAAGTTCTATGTTTTGCAGCCTAAAACTTTTGGGATTCAATATCCCCTCCAAGCATAAAGGCTTGCTAGGTTATGCTTCATTTGTTTGCTTTCATAACCTGAAATCCAAATTATTAACTATGTGAGAAATGTACGAAGGAAAGCACCATACTTCATGTCCATCTCCTCCACTTCATTGGTATTGGGATATATAGGGTTTGCGAAGAATCATGTCAACGAGCTTCACTGTTCTTCTCTGAAATTTGATGTTTGTTAAATTATCAGGGCTGTTTATTTGACTACAAATTTAAGGATTTCCTGATTTATTCTTTTTCCTTTAGTTGATTTAGTTATGTGGTTATGATGTTAAAGTTTGTTCATGTAAAACAATCTTAATTCAAGCACCACAAGTAATTAAGAATTCAACTTAATTCAAGTATTTTACAATTTAATAATTCATCACAAGTTGAGTATCCACACTTTTGTATGTAGTTCTAGTGTAGCGGAAACTATATATTTCTTATTCAATAGGAGGCTTATTATTTTATTCGTTTAAGTATAGTTAGGGTTTGTTTGGAACATCTTTCTGCCTTCTTGTGTTTCAGACTATCACTACAATTTTGTTTGAGGAACTGCTTTCTAGAAATTTCTATGTTGAGAAGTTGTTTTTTTAACTTGACTTGTTAAAATGCAGCGGTTGTAAAAAAATTGCTATCTTGTTTTTTGAAAAAAAATATTTATTTATAATTCCCAGCACAGTTTTATAATAAGTTTTTTCCACCACAGTTTTACAACCGTCTTTTTAAAAAACCGCGGTCACCCCAAACAAACTCTTAATGTTGAAGATTGTCATCTTTGGTAATATAATTTGTGGGAAACACCATTGAAATCAGCCCCTAGTTGGGTCTTAGCCAGCCTGATCCTAGCCAACCCATTTGCCTTGTTGTTAAGCCCTAGCTAGTTTCCACTAGTCTTAACATGGCTCCTTTCAACGTGTTGGCTAGCCTCCTCTCCTTATTTTTTTCATTGTCATCTCATTGATCAATGGGAACATTATTGCCACCTCATTAATCCATGTGAATTGTGTAATATCCCGTTTTTATAACTAGTGGAGAGAAAACAAGAAAAACCGAATGGAGTTGAAGCGAGGAGTCGAGCAAAGGGGGAGATGAAGCGAGAAGGCCAGGAAGCCAAAGAGAGGAAGAGGAACGAAGAGTCGAACAGGGGGCAAATGGGGCAAATGAGGCAAGAAGTTTGGGAGCCGAACAGTGCAGGAAACGTCGTAGTCGGTGACAAGGAGGCTTGAAGAAGTATTGGTGTCGGGCTTTGAGGGATTCGGTGCAAAGGAGAAGCGGTAAGGAGCAAGGCCGAGGATTTCACTCAGCGAAGAGATGACGCCGGTATTGGTGTCGTGCGACCGATCGAGGAAAGGAGAATCCCTTGTTCCAACCATCGAAGAAGTAGAGGAGACGAAGCATCGCACAAGAGGCGAAAGGTTGAGCTCTTGTGCTATCCAGTTCTCAAAGAGGGGAGGAAGACGAAGTCTTCACGTGGTTTAGGGCCGACTAAGGCAATATTTATTAAATTGATTTACTAATAAAATTAATACTATAAAGGTTTATATATATATATATATATATTATATATATTATAAAGGTTGATAGTCGATCAACCCCATAGTCGGATCGAGGGGCGGACCCCCCTTCCAGGAAGGTGTGCAATTCTATCTTACGCATGAATCGAACCCCCGACTCGAGAGATTTACACCAAAGACCGCAATCAGTGGGATTACATAAAGTAAGATATGAAAATTTTATACGTTATAACGAAAAGTTAATAGCTAATTAAAATAATAATTTATATATTGTGTTTATGATAGGTTTCTAATTTAAAAGAGTCGTCGTCCAGACAAATCAAATAATAAATTAATCGACATCGATGTGAGTACTTGTATTTTTAATCTATGGGAATAGTTTGGTTCTTCTCCGCTATATTGCATTGGTAGATAACGATACTTGTACTAACTTTTTTTTTGAATTATATATTATTCTTTATTCGTCACATTGTTATGAATGCTTATAATCACTTACTATGATGCATTGGTGTATGCTATATTAAATTGAATGCGATGAGTGTATGAATAATATTTTTATATTGATTGTCTGTATGTGCATGATTTACTATGATGTAGTCACTCATTTATGATGCTAGTGCGAGAATATTAATATACTCGTGCATATAAATGAAAATTGATATTGATATTAAAGTATTTAAGTGATATAATTTTTAGACAGTGCTTGTGTTATGGATGCACAAATATAAAATAATATCAATATGATATTGATATAGTAATATTCATTGTATAACATCTTAGTTGTTTATATTGATTTATTAGAGGCTTAATCGATATGCATATTATTTTTTCTCTCTTGGGATTAAGGCTTTGTTGTTGTTGTTGTTGTATTACTGTAGTTTAGTAGTATGAGTATTCACTAGCTTGTTTACTCATAGTTATTTTAAACTAGCTTTTCAGGTTTAATTAGTTGGTTAAATGATGAGTGATGGAAGGAAAAATATTTATAGAAAACAGTACAACCAGTAACGAGTTAAAATTTAAATATACAACTTTAATTTAATTTAATTAGTGACTCCATTTGTTAAATAGTAAATGAATATATAAAATTTAATTCCCTCAGTTTGACCGTTTACTCCCGTTTTAGTTAATTTCAAGCCCCATACCGGATCGTGACAAACTGTCTTTCTAATTTTATATATTTCTTATTAGAAGCTTTCCTAAGATTGTATAAATTCTGCACAAATTAAGAATGTCCTCCTAAAATAGTTCTCTGAATCTTTTCATGATGTCATAGATTTAGGATTAACTTTTTTCTTGTTTTCCCATAATTTAACTTCAATGTTTGCCTTTCTTTCCTCGTAATTTTCTCATAGTAGGAGCCTCCATCATTGCAATCTTATCTATGTTATTTTTTATAAAATAAATACTTTTTCTATTTTTCTCACCATGGGCAACATACGTATTCATGTCCCCTTGGTCTTTGGTACTTTGGAATCTTGAAGAACTGGTTCTTACATTTGAAAAATTATAAATCCAAATTCACTATGAGATTCGTAAAACATCACTCACATATTGATTGAATGAAATATTTTTTTTCCCAAGAGGTTATAATTGGTTATTTACATGAAGCCATTTTAGTCTCAGTGTCTATAAAAGTGTCAATATAGTTTCCAAACATTTTTAATGAGGGCTAAAATAATCATCTCTGGGATTTTCTTAGTAGTAGTAGCTCTAGTGACAAAAGTGTAACTTTGGGTGATCAAATTATTGAACGACGATTTAGATATCTCGGGTCTATTGTTCAAAATGATGGTGATATAGATGAGGATGTTAATAGTAGAATTCAAGTTGGTTGGTTGAAGTGGAGGAATGCTTTGGGCCTTTTGTGTGATAGAAATGTTCCGCTTCTGTTGAAAGGAAAATTTTATAAGATGGTGGATAAGATGGTGGTGAGAAGATGGTGGTGAGAACTGCAATGCTCTATGACACTGAATGTTGGCCTTTAAAAGAGAAGCATAATACTAAGTTAAATGTTGCCGAGATGAGATTGATTAGGTGGATGATTGGCTTTGCACTTAAGAGATAAAATGAAAAATGAATAAATTTGTGATAGGGTTGGTGTAGCTCCAATGACGAACAAAATTAGAGAGAATCGTCTTAGATGGTTTGGTCACGTTAAACGACGAC